TTGAAGCCACACAGATGAGAAAGGAGATCTGCCACATGGGGGCAGGCCGATACCCTGTTGGGAGAGGAGCTTTAGGAAAAAAGCCAAGCAGCCCAAAACATTTGTTAAGGGAGTTTAAAAGCATACTTATGCTCTGGCTACCACCTAAAAGAAAGAAAGAAAGAAGAAAAAAGAATAGAGGAAAGAAAGGAAGAAAGAGAGAAGGAACAGTTATATCTTTCTGAGTCATGATCCAGAAAGGCAGGTAGACTCAGCAGAATGTCCTGGCAGCTGCTTTGTAGACACTGCACCAGGGACTAGGCATTCTGGGAAGGGAAAATACATCCATCCCCTTGGCTGCAGGTAAGCCCTCATTCTTGCTCAGTAAAGGCGATTCAGGTGTAGCTTGTTGGGGTAGAAGCATCTATAGCTGATTCTCTGGAAGAAAACAAACTGGTTTCCCAGAGTATATTTTTATGACACTGTGCCTTGGTTTGTTTTTAGGACCTTCAGGGATAGATGTTGCTTACATGCACTCTGTGAAGGAATTTTAGCAACTCTTGACAAATGCAAATTTCTTTTTTTTTTTTTCAGGAATTCTCATTAAAACAATACTTTCTCCCTGGGAGTCCCAGCACTTGGGAGGCAGAGGCAGGTGGATCTCTGAGTTCGGGGCGGGCTTGGTCTACAGAGCAAGTTCCAGGACAGACAAGGCTACACAGAGAAACCCTATCTCGAAACAAACACACAAACAACAAAAACAAACACAAAACAACAAATCCCCCCCCCAAAAAAAACTTTCTCAATGGCATTTATTGGCCTCATGCTGTAACAGTCATGTATAGGCGGCGATATTCCCGTCTTTATAAGGAAACATGCTCAGAGATGTTACACAATTTTGCTAAGAGCATAGGGATGATATTGGTGGAACTGAGGTGTGAGTTACGAGAGTTACCACACTATGTGACTGTCTTGAGCACTACCACTAAGCATCCACTATGTTTTGGCACATGGTGCAAGGGAGAAGAAGGATACTTTTATACAGCGTGTGTTATCAAGGTAGAATGCAAACAATCCCAAAATGTAGCTCTCCACAGGACAAAGGGTTCAGTATTTAAAAGTAATGAGACTTGTAGAATGGGTAGCTAAGTATCTTACAAACTGTTGATGTTAGCCCCATCCATTAGGGCAACTCCCGCCAATGTTTTTGGTCTACCATTGCCTGTGCATGTATATAACTGTAATTATTGAGTACTAGTCTGAGGAAGGTTTGTGTTGGGTTTCTGTGCACAGCAAGCCAAGGTCACATTATTGACAGCTGTAGAAAAGTTTTTTTTTGCAAAATCACAAAAAGTACACTCAGTGTTAAAGCATGGTGCGGGTGAGGCCTGGAATCTCGGGTAGTTAGAGGAGTCTTCACACAGCAGTGAGCTTTCGGGTTCCGTTGAGAGTTGAGGTGAGCAGGGAGTCGGTAGTACTCTGCAAGTGGAGCATCTCTGAGAATTGAGGGATTACCCGGGTAGGCGCCTACAACTACGCACTGCTCACTGGGGGAGCATCTCAAGGTAGCGCCGCCTCTGGAAACAGCAGGGTCTGCCTCTGCCCCCATCCCATCCCCGACCCCCGGACTCCATCCCGACCCCCACCAGGCGTGTCATGTAGGGGAACCCCTTTCCTTGCCAAGCTTCCGTTTCCGGCCCGGACTCTGCCTCAGCGGAAACCCGGCTCCCGGGCCGAGAAGGGGGCGGGCCCGCGCAGGCGCACGGCCGCCGCTGCGATGGCGCTGCCGGGCGCCTTGAACAGGTATCTGCTGCTCATGGCACAGGAGCACCTGGAGTTCCGCCTGCCGGTGAGCCGTCCTGGGGCACCCGCCGCGCAGGCCGCACGCCCTCGTCCCCCGGGCCGGGCCGGGGTGGGACCGCGCGGTGCGGGCCGCCTCCTGCGGCCACAGCTTGCCTGTCGTTCGCTGCCTGCACGCGCTGGAGCGGGGCCTCACCCGGCCGTCCTGTCCCGTCCCGGGCTGCCGGTCCACACCCTGAGGCCGCTCGGGGGAGTGGGAGAAGGCCGAAACGCGAGGCTCAGGCTGTGGGAGGCTCCAGGGTGACGTTCGGTGAACGTGGGAAACCGCTTTTTATTCGAGAAACATTCTCCAGAGTTTCTGTAATCGCGTGCGCCCCGCGGCGCGCATGTGCTGACAGGCAGCTCTGCTCCGGTTCAGGCTGAGGGCCGCGGACGCCTGAGCATCATTGCAGCGCCCTGGGAGCAGGGGTGGGCGGCGCCGGTGCCCAGGACGCGCGGCAGCTCGTGAAAGCATTCTGATCCACCGAGGGGTGGGGGCTTTCATGGCGGTGGCGTTTGGATCACAGGATTAGTTACCTGGGCCAAGGAAACAAGTACATTAGAAGTGTAAACTGTTGCCCATTACTGTCACCGGTTATGTGACAGAGACTGCTAAGGAGAGAGATTAAAGAGTTTAGAAATAAAGAGGTAGAATTAGATTGTTTTCAATAGAAAGCTAAATGAAGAGTAGGACTGAAGTTGAAACCGTTTCAGAATCTGTTGGAATGTTAAATGATTAAGAAATGAACCTAGTACGAGCAGGGGGGGGGGTAGAACGGCAGTGTAGGAGATGAGAACAATCTAGACTTGTGATACATATTTGTGATTGTTCTGCATAAGAAAACCAGGAAAAGGTGTGGTTTCTTCAAGTGTAAGTTCTAAAAGTGGTGAGCCAGTGGCGTCGGAGAGACAGCTCATTGGTTAGAACACTCACACCTCTTCCAGAGGACCTGAATTTGATGCCCAGCACCTCATCAGGAAACTGGCTTACACCCCAGCTCGGGGGGGGGGGGGGGGACCCCATACTTCCAGACTCCAAAGGCCATCAGGCCTGCCTTACTTTTGTAAGCGTACAAACAGGCATTAAGAAGGTAGACCAAATTCAAATGCTTGGAAGCATTGACATTAAAGGAAAATAAAGAGACTCTGCGACATTTCAAACATAGGGGACTCAGATATGAGGAGAGAGCGGAGGCTTAGAGAGCAGAGAGGAGTGGTATTGAATGTGTGTGCTTTGTGTTAAAAAGAAAGGTTACTCTGAGAGGATGAAAATGAAGAAAGGGAGCCAGGCATTGGTGGCGCACGCCTTTGATCCCAGCACTCGGGAGGCAGAGGCAGGCAGATAGATCTCCGTGAGTTCTGTGCCAGCCTGGTCTACAAAGTGAGTTCCAGGACAGCCAGGGCTACACAGACAAACCCTGTCTCAAAAAAATAAAAACAAAAACAAACAAGCAAATGAACAAAAAATGAGGGAAGGGACAGAAGGTAGCCTTGTTTATCAGAGTATGAGAAGGGGAAGTACAAGAGAGTATACCTAGGAGAGAACGGAGCCTCAGTCACCACCTCCTTGTGTCGGAATGTTTCCATTTCTGGGCTGATCTCTACATATGGCTGTGCTACCCCATCAGGTAGCTGTGTCAACTGACATGGGAAGGATGGAGAGTCAAAGGATGTGCTAGTATTTAGGAGACCTGAAAAGCAATTGTAGTCATACTCGATGTTTCATAGTGTGTCCTATTCATGTGTTATTCATGTTGTAAAGGAGCCATTGGGCCGTCTTCACTGATTTATGGATCGCCGGTGCTGGTTTGGGACCCATCCACATCTTTGAATTGAACTTACCCATCCACACACACACTCCTCTTAATATTTTTATTCTTTGAAGTTTTCGTGCAATTTGTTTTGATTGTATTCACCTCCAACTCTTCCTGAAACTCATAACTTTCTAATGTAAGAAACAGTTTGACGCAAAGCCAAAGGAAAGCTGGAAGTAGAATTTGTTGCTCAAATCTCCCATTCTTTTTGGTTTGAAATGGGAGACTTGATGGCGTGGCTATCTTCCTCTCCTGACGGCTGTGGGCTTGCTGTTAGGACCTGGCAGGGAGGAAAGGAGAGTGTTGGCAACCAGCAGAGGGTTCACTTACCTCTTAGTTACTTCCTCCATAGGGCCAGTGTGGAGGAATAGAATTCATTTGTCAGTGTTACAAGGCAAAGTATTTGAATAATCCTTCGAAGAATATATGTACTGTTTGGTCAGATTTTTAAAATATCTACCGTGAACAGGTATGGTGGCACATTCCTGTAATTCCAGCATCTGGGAAATGGAGGCATGTGAATCAGCTCACAGTAGCCTTGGCTATAGGAGACTCTGTCTGAAAAAATAAAGAAACAAAATTACTATATTCATGTATTACTACTATTGGGAAAGGAGGTTAACCATGTACTTGTACATACTGAATTCACAATTATGCTCCCTAGCTAATTCTTTCTTTTCCAAGCATCTTCAAATCATGATTAATAATTGATTTTATTTTAATTAGTTGTTGTCTTATTTACTAATCTGCAGCATCTGTAAACACCTATTACCTTCACAAGCAAGGACAGTCCCTGATGAAATCCTATAGCAGTTCATGTACAAAATTTCTCAGAAATTGCCTAATCATGGTGAGGACCACACAAATCTCAGAGCTCCACATTGCAATTGCCCGACGTTCGACGTTGGAACCTAAATGCTTCAAGTAGATATCAACCTACTCTTTTATTTCTAAAATTAGACCTGTTTTTCTCAGCAGACTGAGTTTAAAGTGCTCAAAACTCACATCGTCGTCACTCTTCTTGGTGGTGTGACAAAATAGCAACAGAAGCAACCAAATGGAACAGGTTTATTTTGGCTCATGACTTTAGAGAGTATAAGGTATAGCGGATTAGGGTTATGAGAGAGCAACTTGCTCATTTGATACACATCAAGAAACAGAGTAGGTTAGAATCACGTGGGAGTAACCCTTCCTCTTGTGATGGACGTAGCCATCCCTGACCCCTCAATGCCCTGACCCCTCAATGTGTCACAGCACTCAAAGTAGATCCACAAGCTAAGGCTGCTGGTTAGAACATGAGCCCTTGGGGGACATTTCTTAATCAGACAATAACTATATATTTTTTTTTTCTCTGTGTTTTCAATACAGGAAATAAAGTCTTTACTATCACTGTTTGGAGGCCAGTTCACTAACAATCATGAAACTTATGGAAAGGTAAGGTGACTTTTTTTTTTTTTTTTAGAAAGGAATAGGTAGTTTATTTTGGAGCCATTTTGAGTGACCATAGTCTGGGAACACAGATTTAGGTTACCCAAAATTCCATGTTCTGGTGTGGAAGCTTCATGGTTTTGTAGAACAAAGGAAGTCATAAATCAAGGTTGGTTAGTACATCGGAGAGGTGCTTACAGCAAAAATGGAGGAAGCTTCTCTATAGGCTGAAAGTGCTGTCTGGTGACATCTTAGCTTTTGATTGGTGGAAGCTAGTAGTCCAATAAGTTAGTAATTTCAAAGGGTTTTTTTTTTTTTTTTTTTTTTTTTTTTTTAAATCTCAGGATGTCAGTTTTGACACACAGGTGGACAAGGGTTCTGAAGCCAGTCCGAAATAAGGTGCTGCAGTTCCGTAGAAGTCGGTTTCTGCAGACACAGCTGCTTTCCAGCTCCGCACAGTTGGCCCTGTTGGCCAAGACTCACACTTTGCTCTTATGGGGCCGTATATTGTTTATAAGGTCATTTGTAGTTAGGAAGGCTCATTCTGTTGTAGATGAGGCTGAGCAGTGGGCACAGCAGTTGTCAGGGGACAGGAATAGTGGTTAAAGACCATTAAGAAAGAAACTCCTGGATTATATCAAAACTATTAATCACCACGATCTGGATCTGAAGTTTTTTTTTTTTTTTTTACTCTTTCTGTATCTGGTACAACATTTACATATGATATATGATAGGATTCCTAGACCTAAAATTAAATAATTAAGAGCATTTTGGACTAATGTGGTGAAGGTAACAGATGAAGGAAGATGTATTTAAAAATAACTAAAATATATATATATGTTTTACCTAGATTGACTGTTTCCCCCTATATTTACACTTACTTGTGTTCTGTGAACTGTTTTATATATATTTCCAAGATTAGAAATGGGATTTTGGAAGAAGTCACTAATTTTGTACCCCATTTTTAATTAGTAAAATACAAATATAATTCAGTTAAATTGTAATCCATGCTAATTGTACTATAGGGCATTTTAGATTAAATCAAGAACCATCAGTATATGTTGTGATTAGAGATTGGTATCTTTTGTATAATTTGGATAAGAAGAACTAACCCAAATTTTTTAGTATCTCTAGCTAGAGTAAATGGAATTAAAGTTTAATTAGTAATTAGATTTTTTTTTTATCCAAATTTTACTGACCTATGTAAATACACACACAAATACACCTATGCACATACACGCAGTAGAAACACTTGAATCTTTTAAACACTGGTTTTAAATAAGGTAGGGTTTTAGGGTAAACAAACAGTGACAGCAAGAAGACATGATCAAGTGAAAGGTCATGGTATCTTCATTTACAGCTTCACAGAAACCAAGATTTGAATTATTTTCATTACTTAGAAATTCACCAGGAGACAGGTACGGTGGTACATGCCTTTAGCACTTGGCAGGCAAAGGCTGGAGGATCTCTGAGATCGAGGCCAGCCAGTTTCAGGACAGTCAAAACTCTGTAGAGAGAGCCTGTTGCACCCTGACCCCCTCCACCCCCCAAAAAGAAGGAAACCAAGTCCAATATTAAATATCATAAACAAAAAATCTGAATATCTTAAAATCAAAATATTTAAGAAACAAAACATGAGAGAAATTTTTAGTTGCTGAGGATACTTCATTGTCACTGGCCTTGAAAATACGATCATCCAGCATTTTGTATTTCAAGACAGGGTTGCTCTAATAGTTTGGCTGTCCTGGAACTTGCTCTATAGACCACACTGGCCTCAAACTCACAGAGATCTGCCTGCCTCTGCCTCCCAAGTCCTAGGGTCAAAGGTGTGCGCAACCATTGCCCAGTTTCATTCAGCGTTTTTGAAGTCCACTTGAATGTGCTCTCAGATGATAGAGAAAGTTCAGGTAAGGTGGATTTATAGTAGACCATGTGTGGTATGTATCAAAAGTTAAGATGCTTTATTTTGTTTAAATTATTTTGAATATTTCTGTAGTGTAGTATCAATATCAGATTAAATATGAGTCTCAGTCATTTTTTGCAAGAAAATGATGAGAGGCCTTAAATTGAAGTCTCCTGCCATTGGCCATTTGTTGTTCTCTCTGAAAAGGAGAATGGAGGGAGAATGTGGATGTGTGAGAATGGCGAACTGTCAGAGCACCGCGTGCTTGGCCAAGTCCAGCCAGGGGCTGTAAGGGTGGAGCTTGCTTACCACCCTGTATGTGGGGTGCTGGGACACAGGGTTAAGAAGCCTTGTTGACACTGATGAAGCTTTTTATCTCAAATAAAATGGTGAAATAATTCAAGTTAGAGCAGCTGGGCTGTGGTGGCACATGCCTTTAACCCCAGCACTTGGGAGGCAGGCGGATCTCTGTGATTTCAAGGCCAGCCTAGTCTACAGAGCTAGTTCAGGACAGACTCCAAAGCAATACAGAGAAACCCTGTCTTGAAAAAAAAAATCAAGTTAATAACAATAATATGCACCATGGCTTTACGTCATCATCAATTCACAGGATACCTGCAGCCATAGGTATCCAGAAAATGAGTTGCCAGGCAAGTGAAAATTAATCTTAAAGTGGATAACACACCCAGGCTTATAATTTCAGCACGGGAGGTAGAGGCAGGAGGATCTTGGTGCTTTGAGTATATGGCCAGTCTGGAATATCTAAATACATAGAAACTAGTTGTTCTTTTTTAAAAGTAAATTTAAAAGTGTACTGATATTTTCATTTATGGAGTCATTTATAAAAGTGTTCTTATATTGTAATATATTATCTTAACAAGTTATCTACTAAAATGATTTAACATTTTATTATCAGAATAATTTTTATTTTGATTAGAGTCAGGTCAGGCATTTTTACATGGCAACTATGAATTTTTCCTGTTGGCTGCTTGAATCAAAGCATATTAGATCTTGTAGCCTTTGAGTAGTAATTTGCATGACTTCTTTTCTTTCAGTCTCCATTTTGGATTCTTAGCATTCCCTCTGAAGATATTGCAAGAAACTTAATGAAACGGACAGTATGTGCCAAGTAAGAGAAACTCCTCATGTTGTGTGTTGTGCATAGACATGGTCTCATAACCATATGTTCTGGTTTTTGCTGTGGAAGGTTAAGATAGAGGCTAAAAGGATGGTAGCAGAGTGGGCATCATCTTAGCTTGAAGTTGCATAGATGGTGATGAGGGAACAGAGAATTACCTTCTAGAGCTGAGGTGACAAATGCTTCCATGTTTAGTAGGAGGATGGTAAGGAATGACATACTCTTGTTTGTTTATTGTTTTTTGAGGCAGGGTTTCTCTGTATTGCTTTGGAGCCTGTCCTGGAACTCTATAGATCAGGCTGGCCTGGAACTCACAGAGATCCGCCTGCCTCTGCCTCTCAAGTGCTGGGATTAAAGGTGCACCACCAATGCCCGGCTGAATGACATATTCTTGCAGAGAATGAATGCCACATTTAGTGTAACCAAGTTTTACAAAATATAAAACTGCTTTTCTTATTCTCCATTTTTAGTTGAATGATCAGATTAGTAAATTTAAGATGGCGAAATATGGGAACTGTCATGAGATATATTTGTTAGAGAAATGGATTATTATTTTTCTCCTTGTTTTTTTCAGGACAGGGTTTCTCTGTGTAGCCCTGGCTGTCCTGGAACTCACATAGATCCACTTGCCTCCTGAGTGCTAGGATTAAAGGTGTGTGCCACACACACACACACACACACACACATGCACGCACGGGCGCACGCGCGCGCACGCACCCCCCCCACATGATTAGTAATGTTTTGTAATGTGGTATGACTGTTACCTCCATATTCATCTAACTTTATCTTATTGAGATGTATGCTTAATTCTAAATCTAGTTTCTTAAACTGTAGCTTCTTAACAATCTTGTAATTAAATGTACATGATTAGAATATAGAAATAACAAAAAAATGAAAACCACTATTTGTACATATACTACTTTACTTTTCATGTTAAAATATATGGCTGTTTTAGGTATTTGGATTTCAGAAGAGATATTAAGTTTAAAATAGTTACTTGTGCTCTCAGAACATATAAATGGAAAGCTCCTTTCTTTTGATGCATGAGTAATAAAATGAATAATTATATAATATTATAAGATATATAATGCTTTACTTTTGGTCGTTCTTCATTTCTGTGGCCGAGATATGCCTTACGATACTGCTAAGTAAGAGTGTCATTACTTGCTGGCTCCAAATTTAATAGAAGAAGAATTCACTTTCAAGGACAGTATTTTACAACCTACAGATGATTAAAATAGACTTTCAAGGACACATTGAAAAATCATTCAAAATTTTCTAAGGTTAAATTAGGCTTAAAATTAGTTTCAAATAGTTTTAGTATAGATTTTTAGAGGATTTACTTTTATATTTTTATGTTATATGCATAGCTTTTTGCCTGAATACCTGTGTGTGTACATGTGTGCAGATGTCCTCATATGGAGTTGGATCCCCTAGAACTGTGGTTACAGGGTTGGGGTGGGGTAGGGAGTGGGGTGGTGGAGGTGGTAAACTGCCTGATGTGGGTGCTGGGAACCAAACTGGGTTCTCTGGAAAGGTCAGCAAGTTCTCTTAACCACTGTGCGGTCTCTCTAGCTCCTTTAAAATGGAATATTTTATGCGTACCACAAAAGTGAAACATAGAGCAAATCCTGGGTACTTACTTTGTTAGTGCTCAGCATTTTGAATTTATTTAGTAAATTTTAACAAATAATAGCTAAAAAGTAATGATAGGATTTTTCTCTGGCCACCCTTCCCCCTTTTAATGGGGAAGACATTGAGAAAATTTTGCTTTCCTGTGTCTTTTCTTAAAATAGCATGTGATTTTATTGCATTGTTTAATTCAGTATTGTGTGTAATGCAAAGGGCATGGGGTATAACTCAGTGGTAGACAGAGTGCTTAGCTCGCAGAAGACCCTGGGTCAATCCCTAGTTTCCCTTAATAGCATATGTGTGTATGTATATTTACGTATTTGTATATGTGTATAAGTGATGAAAAATTGGAAAAACTCTTAATGTTGAATTTCCCTTCTTTCATTTAATGTTCATCTTCTTTATATGATTTGGCGTTATATTGTTACTTGTTTCCAGTGTGTATATTTCTCATTAATAAATTGGAAAGCATGGCCAGTGACTGTTTTAATGTAGCAAGCATAAAGAACTAGGAAAATAACTATTATGGATTGCTGTCTGAACTAAGTTCTTTACTGAGGTTAGTACCAACCATTTATTTCCTAGGTCTATATTTGAACTATGGGGTCATGGAAAATCTCCTGAGGAGCTGTATACTTCTCTTAACAATTACCCTGTGGAGAAGATGGTGCGTAGTGAAATGTGAATTTTACATAGGCATGTATGCATATTCTGTTACATTCATAAGCTTACAGAACTTATCTGCTTCTATTTTAGGCTCCATTTCTGCATTCAGAGTCTACATATAAAATAAAGATTCACACGTTTAATAAAACATTGACGCAAGAAGAAAAAGTCAAACGAATAGATGTAAGTGAAATTAACAAAACCAAGGCCTATGGAGTGAATACACTCTAGCTGTTGATATATATAAATATTTAGTTGTAAGTGGAGTTTTCCAGTCACGCAGCTGCTCTCAAATAAGCACACTGAGAGTTGTTATTATTTACAAGTGCTCTGTCGGAAGCTCAGGCTTATTACTAACTACCTCTTCTATTTTTTAAGTTAACTCATATTCCTTATTTATGCTCTGTCACATAGCAGAACCTTTATTAGCATTTCATGTTCATCTGCTCCTTTCCATTTGTTGGCAACTCCTCTGACTCCATCCTTCTTCCTCCCAGAATTCTCTCTGTGTTAGGTTGTCTTACCCAATTTCTTCTTACCCTGTTATCAGTCAATCACAGTCAATCAGTGTTTTTATTAACAAGGAGCATAATCCACATGGTGTATAATATCTGTTAGGTGCTTTCCATGTTGTTTGTGGCTATCTTGTGTAGTTCTGACACCAGACCCACACTGCATATATTGCTAGATAAGCACTGTTTTCTATGATTCTTTGATAATTTTTTTTTTTTTTTTTTTTTTTTTTTTTTTTAGGGCCTTGAATTTCTACCATTTGAAGGAAAAGTGAACTTAAAGAAACCACAGCATGTATTCTCAGTTTTGGAGGACTATGGTTTGGATCCAAACCACATCCCGGAGAGTCCACATCATATTTATTTTGGTAGATGGGTAAGCAAGTTCTTTCTACCTAGCTCACCTCTTTCTTTAAAAGCTAAATACAGGATGGGGATGCAGGTCAGTGGTAGAGCACAGGTCAAGTATTCATGAGGCCAGAGCAAAAGAAGAATGCCATGCCTTTGTATTTGATTTTTTTTTTAATATGGAAAAATTTGAAGCAATTGAGAGTCAGAACTCTATATGTATTAAAAATGCCAAAAAGTATGTGATTATAATTTCTGATTTTTAAAGATCCCTGTGAAACATAAGGAGCTTGTTGAAGCAGAGAGAGGGCAGAGTGCTGAGCTGGTTCAGTGATCTTATGAAAATCTCTAATCTGAGTCTTCCATTCTAAGGGAAAATTAAGTTATAAAGTGTTGTGCTTACTTCCTGGAGGCTGGAATAGGTGGATGAAAGCTAAGAGCCATGTTATGAGCTCCTGTCATTTCAGAGACAGAGCAGAGGGAGATGAGAAAACTCAGGACCACTCCTTAGAATAATTGTATCTGAATTTGATGCTTACTTGGTTTGAAAGCACAAAGTAGGTGGAAAGGCATTAGAGAAGTTAAAGGATTGACTCTAAAAAATCTTAGTCCTTTAAATTTAAAGGAGTAAGTTTAAAACAGTAAAATAAGTGGAAAAAGTTCTCATTAGCAAGGTGCTGTAATTTTTATTGTCAGTAATTATCTTGAGTTTGTGCTGTATAAGTTAGACTAACTTGAAAAAAATCTGTTCTAGATTGCAGATGGGCAAAGAGAGCTAATTGAGTCATATAGTGTCAAAAAGAGACATTTTATTGGAAATACGAGCATGGATGCTGGTTTATCATTCATCATGGCCAACCATGCAAAAGTGAAAGAAAACGATGTTGTCTTTGATCCATTTGTTGGAACAGGTATTATAAATCTATTTGTTACACTAATGCATAGATTTTGCTTATTTATAGCACTGAACATTATAGTATGTTTTGGGTGAGAGATTGAATTGACAAACATAACTTTTCCTGTATAATAGCTAATATTTAACACTTTGCCACTTGATGGATGTAACTAGAGTATTATAAGTTTTATTCCAAGTAAGCCACTGGGGGGAGCATCAGACTTATTTTTTTCTCAGATGTCTTGCAGTATAACCATACATTGTAGAAATGTATGAGAATCATTATTTATTTAATTAGGAAAACTCTTACAGGAAGAATGGGGAAAAAAAACAAAAAGAAAAAATATTCATGCTTTTAAATAAAAGCTATGTATTTGGGTAGAGGGAAAGCATGTCTTTGATTCTGTTTTTAAGTAAGTGTGAAACTAAAGGTGACTAAGTAGCCATAGTCTAGAGCCTGAGTGCTGATACCGTAACCCACGTCCTTTCGAATTTCCCTGGGATCGCTCCTAATTAAACCTGTGGAAAGCCTGAAATTCCAAGTTGACTTCATTTAATTCTGAAATTTTTCTTTTCTCAGATTGTGTTCTTGCTTGATGTAGCCCTTAGGCAGGCAGCACTCTTACTTAACTTCTGTCCGACTAATGCCATTGTTCTTGTTCAGTTAGAGTCACTGCAGCTGTCCCCACTGCAGCAGTGGGCATGCAAGGGATGGGTAAATGTGTCAGGAACTATACTGTACTCCAATTCTGATGACAGACAGCTAGCATGTAGACACTTTGAAAGTCTTCGTGAGGTTATGTGACCTGATCAGAGTTATGCAGTGTACCGTATTTGCAGCTTCAGACTCCAGGAGTTCATGTATTCATTGCTTCTGCAGAGCAGTCTCTGCCTCTGCATACATTTTACCGGCCACTGCTTGCATTAACTTCAGGACTGTGACCAAATGTGATTAGGGAGAAATAGTATCTGGTCTAGAATTCCTAGAGGATGGAAGGTGTTTTTTGTAATCTGTTTTGAACTAATTCACCAGTGCATTTTTCTTATACTCCGGTGTGTCTCCATGGATCCCACTCTCAGTTTGTTCTCTATGTTCATTTACCTAAACACATTCTTTCACATTTTGAGCTTGTTATTGGAACTAATATTCAGTTTATTTACAAGTTATAAGAACAAAGAATATCCACATATCCAATCCCAGCTTAAATTTTGTTTACATTTGGCTTCCTTTACCTTATCATTTTATTTTGTTTATATTTTTTTCCTGAATCATTTGAAGGTTATGTGTATTTTATTTTTTACTTTAAAAATTTGTTTGTCTACTTAAGTTTGGCCTTACATGTCATGTGGGTGCTGGGAACTGAACGTGAGTCCTCTGGAAGATCAACCAGTGCTCTTAACCACAGAGCCATCTCTCCAGCTCCTGATGGTTGTTGTATTACATTCCTCTCAAATACATCAGTATACATTAGTAAGAGTACCAGTTTTATATATATTTGAATGTATATATTATATTCTGTAGTTGGGTGTTATATTTTACTGTCAACGTTATTTTGATTTGGAACATTACTAACACTTTTAAGTTTAAAATAGTTTTCATTTGAGTTGATTGAATCTCTCTCATTGAATGGGTTATACATTCCTACTAGAGATGTTATGTCCTTCCTAAGGCTAACATACCCTTCTGTTTTTTTTAATCATCACGGTACCAATTGAATTGAATTTTCTTAAATATGGTGGTTACTGTTTTATTTTATATTCTTGCTGTCAGTACATTTGTGGTGAGGTACATAAAGAACTTGTAAATATACTTACCCTTATCCAGATATCTCCTCATCATGACAAGTCAGATTTAGCATCCAGTGACAAGATTCTTGTTTGAGCCAGTCTTTGCTTTGATGTTTGCATTCTAGCACTTCTGTGTTAGTGATCTACATTCATCATTTTGTAAACAAGAAATCTTTCTTCACTTCCTGTTGCTAACTTCACTTATTAACATGACTGTCTCCCCTTTCCTCAGGTCATTTATAAGTCCTGATATCCCTTCATTATTTACGTTTTCAAATTAGAGTAGTTCTACCTAGCCCTTTCACACTGAATCTGTCTGTCTTGGTGACCTATTACTCTTTCTTTTTCCTTAGAGAACTTCTAAGATTTCTGGCTTATCTTTTTTCATGCCAAAGCCATTTCTCCCAGCAACCCTTGTTCCTTTTTGTGAGGAAATGGTATCAGAAATCAAGAGTGTGTTCTAAAACTCCTCAGAGGGTAAGCAAAGAAATACACATGTGTGTCCATTAATATACCTGGGAGTGCACATGGAAATATACATGAAAATACTCCTGTGTGTTAACACGTATAAACCTACACATAGACTTATTAGAAATCATGGGTTTATACATGGACCAGATATTTCTGCTGATTATCACAGATTTATTTTCACCCTATTCCAGTCCTTGTGAATGGATACCTTTTTCTTCACGGAGAACCCTGGTTGTTATGTTCAAAATATTTGCTCTGTAATTATCTAGAATAGTCAAGAATGTTTTGTGCATGCCACTGGGGGAAAAGAATCCTATTGTATTTGTTTTCTGTTGCTGTGATAAAACACCATGACCAACGCAGGTCATGATGGAAGAGTTTATTTGGACTTAATGGGTCCAGAGGGATTGGAATCCATCATGATGGAAAAGCATGGCAGCCAGTGGCAGGAACAAGGATGCTAAGAGTTGACATCTTTTACCATAAGCAGCAAGCAGAAGGAACACACTGGACATAGACAAGACCTTTTACTTCCAAAGCCCATGCCCAGTGACATACTTCCTCAAGCAAACTGGTGCAAACTGGTGCCTCCTAAACAGCGGCACCAGCTGGGGGAGCGAGTGTTCACATATCTGAGCTAGTGGGGATACTCTCATCCAAACCCCACTCCTGCCATATTTTCAATTCTATCCTTGCTTAAGGAGCAATAAATTCAAATACTGTGCTTGCTTTTTCTCCTTTCAAAGTCACTTGGTTTCAGTCGCTGTAGCTTGCTCTTAGTCTTAGGTCTCTGTCCTCTGCTCCTGCCATTACTCCTCTTTATTATGTTGACATTTACTACAATGCAGAGGTTAACTCGTATCTACACAGTAGTGTGCTCTCCGTTTTGTCCCTTCCCTTGGTGACGAACTTGTTTTCTAGTGGATTCTACTATTTTCTCTTCCCAGTGATAATACTTACGTAGGTAAAATTTCTTACTCGTACTCATGTTTGATACTCTGTATGTTTCTTGGTTTTTTGTTTGCTGTTGTTGTTTTCCATTTAACAGTATTTCTTAGAAATCTCTTCCTCTTCAGAGATTATCGTCATTCTTTTGTTGTTGTGGCACTGGAAATAACACAAGTAATCTATCACAGAGCTACATTCCAGCCCATTTTTGTTCTCTAAAAGACTTCTAATCCATGAATGTATTCTGTAGTTTGTTCAGATAATCTCCAGTACATACCTGGGTACTGATAGTTTCCAGTATTTTATACTTGAAAATAATGCTTACAAGGAGAAATCATATAAACACACACTTTTGTAATTTTGAGGCTCTAGTACTGGTATAAATTTCTGGAAGTGGGATTGCTAGGTTAAGGGGAATACATGGTTTTGCTAGAGTCTATTAAATGAATTTTCCTGTTACTCAGTTTTGGGTTTCTGCAACCATGTAAGAGAGTTCTTGTTCTCCTGTAGTTTTACTACTAAGATTATACTATCAAGCTTTTGAAGATTCCCTGATTGGTTGGGTGAAAATGTTATTGAAATACAGTCTTAATTTGCATCTGAATATGTCATCTAGGCTTTTTAAGGGTCATTATACAGGTATTTTTGGATAGACTTTTCTGTCTTTTGCCTCCAGCCTCTTGTAAAGACGCTTTCTTTCATAGAAATATTAGCACATTCTCCTCCAGTATTTCTGTAGTAAATCTCAAATACTTCCTTCCAGATTGCCAGTTATTTGACTTCGACAATATTTGCTTTCTTGTCATACAACAGTTTTCCCTGTAATCAATTTGTACAGGATTCAGCTATATTTTCTTCTAGGCCTTTTGACACTGTATTTTGTTTCAGAACTCACGTCCATTTGGAGTTTATTCTTTTGGATGTGAACAATGGTTATGATTTGTGTTTCTCTAGAGGCTCAGCTCTTAACTCTTTTATCTTGTTCTTAAGCTTTAAAATTTGTATTTCTCATTGTGGTTTTCTGTGTGTGTGCTTGTGCAGGTGCACAAGCAGGTGTGTGAAATGTATGTTTGTGGGTTCAGGCATGCCATTGTAGGTATGTGAAAGCCAGCATGATTTTGTGGTTGGATCTCCTCCCACCTTTGTGGAGTGGGTCCCAGGGATTCACTCCAGGCAATCAGGCTTCTGCCACCCGCACTTTACCCACCAAGCCACCTTGTTGGTTCATTCTTAAACTTTAAAATAAACAAACCAACAAACCAGCCCTTTTTATGAAGTAAAAACAATACTGTGGAATTACATGAAATTTGTGTATAAAATGACTAGTGTGCGCATTTAGGTTAGAGTTTAAGAATGCTATTGTCATAATAGGGAACTAAGGGAAGTATGTGTCTCTTGGTGCAGTTGAGTATGGCAATATAGTGAAGCTTCCATCTTCACAGCAGTCGAGCTCCCTGCCGCCTGCACGGTGAGGGCTCAGGGTATCTCACTGCTTGCTGAGGGTGGCTCCCACAGTAGACAGCCTATTTTGATCATTTCACTTTTACATAGACAAGTAAGGTCAACTGATCGATGAATCTTTGCAAGATCTGCCACTAACATATATTCTCATAATCTGTGTTTATGGTTTAAATTGGCTTTAGAATGTAAGTCAGTTTTGACACTTCTGTTCTGAAACAGGTTATAAACCCTAATTTCACACAGAGAGTCCTTATGGCTTGTATCCTTATAGGACTACTGCTTCACAGACAGCTTGTATCTTGGAAAGGACTAGAGAAGTAGCCCTGTGCCTTCTTCCTGGCCATAAGTTTTTCTGTTCTGTTTGATGGTTTTATGTTTGGCTTCCAAATATTAGAGTTTTTTTTTGTTTGTTTTGTTTTAATTAAAGTGTGTTCCTTTTAATGGTCCAGACTGAAATGCGGACAGTTTCCCAAATGTAGCCAGAGCTTTTCTGTTCCTCACCAGTTCCTGAGTGACCACTCAGAGGCTTAATACTAAATTACAAACTGGCCTATTAGCTCAGGCTGATTATCAAATTCATCCATCTCCATTACTTTATGTATTGCCATGTGGCTGTGGCATTACCTTACATCTTGCTTCTATGGTGGCTGCTGGCTTTCCCAATGCTGCCTTCTTTCTCCCTGGATCTCTGCTTAGATTTCCTTCCTAGTTATATTCTGCCCCGCCATAGGCCAAAGCAGCTTTATTCATCAATCAGTAAAGGCAACACATTTGCTGTGTGCAGAAGGACATCCCACATCATTGAATTAGTCATGGCTGTGATTTTTCTCAAGGGTGCCAAGCAGGCTGAGATCTTTTCTTACCTAAACATCTTTTCTTTTCTTTTAGACAATCTGTTGCTACTTAGAGTTATATACCTTTCTTTCCGTTTTGGCAAATATAGTCTCTTTTCATTTACTTTTAAAATACTTCATTTTTTTCATTTTCCAAGTATAGAAGAAACATCCCATTGGAGCAAATCTCAATGGTGAAGGGAGTACACTATTAAGGTTAGCATGAAAATATACAATACCTTGTTGGCTTGAACTATTATTAACTGGATGCAGAGGTTTACCTAATTTGCTTAGTAACAGAATTTGTTTCTATTTTATCTAACTGGTATGCTGATAAACTTTCTGTTACTATAACAAAATACATAATATAACTTACAAAGAAAAAGGCTTATTTTTTGCTTCAGTTTCAGCTGGGCAGACCCATTGCTTGTAGGCTCTTGTTTGATGTCAGAGTTAAGGAACACAGGGTAGATTTAACTGCTGACCTCGTAGGCAAGAAGCAGGAGGAGGAAGACCCGGGGTTCTGCAATCCTCTTCATTAGAATAAGGCCCTCCTTCTAAGCCTCACATTCTAGACAAATTATCCCTTTGCAACAGAGCCACCATGAGGCCCAGCACTTCAACACACTCTTCTCTGGAGGGCATTTGACATCTAACACTACACCAGTAATTTAGTGTGATATAAGCTAGCTTTATTTTATTTTTTAACTTCAATTGCTGCTGACCCCAGAGGAGGTACTGTAGACTAAACAAAAGAGTAAATAGTGTGAATGTACTTTTCCAACATGACTTGGGACAAAATTCTTGTCTAGATTGCAGTTCCATATAAGTTGGCCATAGTAATATGTTGTAAAGATTAAGGAAGGTAATATGTGCATATAATCTTAGAATATTACTTGAAAACTGGTAGACAGACATTCAGTGGACTGTTATGTTACTATTATTACTTAACTGTTACTTTCGTAGGGATACAGATAATTTCTGATGAACACGTTAGATACAGCTAATACAAAACGATGATGAAATGTTTGACTATGAACTTATTTTCTAGTCCCCTCTTGGGCTAATTTCCAAAATATTCGTAAACTATTGCTATTGTAGCAGCAAGAGAATTGAAGGTTAAATTTGTAAATGTGTGTAGTGTTTTATGTAGCACATAGCTCTGAAGCCATAGCTTTGACTCCTACCTTCTCTCAGGTGAGTGAGTTCTGGGAGTAAGAGTCCACCAAGGAGACATTGTAGGCATAAGGAAAATACTACAGCTCCTTTTGAATTTTGTCATCGCAGAATGATTGGCATAAGGTCCAGGTGAGGACATTGACTTGGTCCTGAGAGGAAACTGCAGGATGGGAAAGAGGACTAGGCAGTAGATCATTACAGCATTCCTGCTTTGTTCCATAGTTCTTTGTAGTTTCCTTTTCCCAAAGCCTCAGTTAGTGTAGTTGTATTGCTACCTTTGGCAATATTCTTTTGCTCAGACTGCTGGTTCATTTCGAGTTTGTTTTTCAGAGGGATAAAACAGGTAGAGAGGAAAAATAATCGCAACGGGGTTACCAACTTCTTTTGCTTTAGCAAAACCAAAGCCTAGTCTTGCAATTCCTCACAGTCTCAAAGCTTTCCCCTTAGCTCTCCACAGGTAAAAACCTATAAATGAAGTTTTATAGTGTGGAATAAATTCCACTCATTGTATTCTTTTGCCTATAAGGTATACACTAACCCTAAAATGGTTACTGTTTAAGTAGCAAGATATTGAGGCACTGAGTGTTAGTCTAACTCACAGATGTGGTATTAATAGTTTACTTTGGATAACAAAAATGGAAGAGTCATTTTCCTCCCTTCTCAACACTTCACCCTCTGTTTTTATCTATCTGCCCAAGAAAATTCCATATAAGGTATAACAAAATGCAAAAGCTGCTGCAATTGAAAGAGCAATAGATGTTAACAGTGATTACCCAGTGATCAATTCAGAGAAACCAAGTCATTATGATTTTATTTAAAAAACTTAAAAGCTTGAAAGACAGAAGGTAACAGGTGAGTCTAACAGCTTATTCGTCTCCTTTCAGCAGTATACTGTAAATTGAGTCTTCTCAAAAGTCACTAAGCAATGGATAAGGTTCTGGTTAAGGAAGCACAGGAAAGCTTTTCTGTTGCCTTGACAACTAGTTCTTCTAGGTGAGTATCTGCCTTGATTGGCAGAATTGTAGTAATTCCTTGTGATTTGCGTGAAGTGACCTTGTGAGGCTCCTAAGTCATCACATACAGTACCTTTCCTCCCACAGAGTATCCCGTCTCTTTACTGAGAGTTCTGAGGTCTCTTTTACGCCGCATCTCACACAAATGCTTCAGGGGTTAGCATGAGAAGACCTAGGATTTGGTTTCCACTGCACTTTGACGCCAATGTTCTTCAAGAGATACAGCAGGAAACTAATTAGTGCATTTTCAAAGTGCTCTTCCCTGACTATTTTTTAAATGGCTGTAGATCTATGATTTGAAGGTTTTGAACCTGTGAAGACCTTGTACATCTTAAATTTTTAGAGGTTAAATTTTAAAAGGATGGAAAGAAAAACCCTAGATTTTGCCCTTTGTCCAAGTCTGTGCTTACTTTGTAGTCTAAGAATGAATTTCTTGTTTCTACTTGACTGTCTTCTTTCTGTATTGTAATTGGGGATTGATCAAGCACAAATTACATAAAAATGTGGTTTAATGAAAAATAGTTATTAATATTTTTATTTAACTTTGTGAATTTTTCTTAAAATTTTAAAAATACTTGTTTTTCTTTTAAGGTATTTCATTTTTAATAGTTAAACTTTCCTTCATTGTTGAACCAGTTACATCTGTCATATTCCTTAGTCTGGTCAGTTTATATTGGGACATTATTCTTACTTTAGCCATAGCACTGTTTAACAGAAAAATTTATTAATTAGGTAAGTTACTCAGAAGTTCATATTTAGAGTTTATACCAAGAGAAAATTACATGACAATATTTTATAAGAGGCCATGTTTTAACTCGCTAAAGTTAGTATTACACATGTGAAATATGTTCACATTAGTTCTTTGAAACTCAAGCCCAGTCATTAGTTTATTTTAGATCTTTGTACTTGCAGATTTGTATGTTCACTTTTAATTTTTTTTTTTTTTTAAGCAATCTAAGATAACCTGATAATGTCTACATATACATTATTTTGAACAAGAATGTAGTGTTGCTTGGGTGGTATGAAACAACACCACCATGATGTGCACTGATGCTCGGCTTTGTGGCCAATTTAGCGAGTTCAGTTTCGGGTTTATTTGTTCAGTTCTGAGCCCTTCTAAATTTAACTGGCTTGGTGTCATTCCAGAGTACTCTGCCTGCAGCTAGTTCATAAGACTCTGGATCAAATGAGATCAGGAAAGGAACACTAGTCGGGACTCTGGTTAATAGTCACAGTTGTGTGGTTTTCCAGGTGGCCTCCTGATAGCATCTGCTCACTTTGGTGCATATGTGTGTGGGACGGACATAGACTACAACACGGTTCATGGCTTGGGTGAGTACAACTTACAACGTTAAAGTCTTTGTTGTTAAGCCAAATGGGCCTTTAAAATAATAGTTTTATGTGACATTTTAGTGTTTAAAGCACAACATTTTAGTGTAATTTTACTCAAAACTTCTTTGAGTATCTACATTTTATGACATTGTCACTCAGGGTATACAAGGTGAACTAGAAGAATATTAAGATGAATAATCCTACTTAAGAACTGCATGCACAATGAGATCAGCCTTGAAGGTACTCTTTTTTAATATGGAAAACAATGGCTGTAGGAATTATTATAAGGCATATTTTGCTAATTTTATGATACACATTTTAGCATAATCCAGATTATTTTTAAACTATTGAATTTGTATTTATAACTAGTGAGAGAATGACCAAGATAAGCCAGGCATCAGCTGTTCTCATTAAATGACTTTGTCTGAGGTTTGTGGCATAAAATGACAGACTATGTATCAGTGTCTTATATTTTTCTGATGAGAGTACAAATTGGAAGTAACATTCCTTTAGTAAGTGATTAATAGAATTTACAACCCAAATCCAACTAATGTGTTTCTTAGTTACAGTTCTGCAGTATGGTGTCCACTAACATTACAGAGGATACTTTTCGGAGGGCTGTCACAGCATTCTTACATTTGCTTAGGTTTTCACTAGCCTGGTGCCTTGGAGTGTTTGCCTGGGGCCTTACCTTCTGAACTGTACTCCTTTCTCTCTAATGATGGGAATATTAATAAAGTGCTTTTCATTTGCAAAAAGGGAAAAAAAACTCTTTCCATCCCCAGCCAGGAACGTGTCATCTTAATCAAATATGTTTTTTTTTTTTTTTTTTTAAAAAAAAAGGCAAACTGAGGTTTGTGAGCCTCAGTGTTGGGAAGGAGAAGGTGAAAGAGATGGAGTGGCCATTTTGTAGTCAACATATGTGGGGCTAGAGAGTGAGTCAGCTGTTAGGAACACTGACTGTACTTCCAGAGGATCCAGGTTCAATTCCCGGCACCCACATGGCAACTTCTGACACCCTCACAGAGACATACATGCATGCAAAAATAACATAAAAATACATTTAAAAAACAAAAGAAAACATATGTAGTCTCTATTTAAGATTACTGCCATTGATGCTATGAATATAGATTGGATGGATATTTTGTCTTTGAATACATTTAAAAATTTAGATTTTTTTTGTGACCAGAACATACTTGAAACACTTGAGGCATTTACAGATTTCAAGATTCTGCCTTTAATGAGCGTAACTTTGATTTTTTGGAGGTTGTGGAAAAATATCTAAAAATTAAAAAGCTTCATTAATTTTATGTGACTGGATGGAATTAAATCAGGGTGAAAAAGTGTATTTCTCATAATGAAACAGTATTAAATATACTAAGGTACATTTGTGCTTTTGAAAGTGTCTCTGCTCGTATTTGTCTATTGTAATTAATGAGTTCTTAAAACAATTTACCTCACTCAGTATATTATTAAAGGTGAGGTTTTTGTATACTTTCTGTTCCTGAAGCTGTTGGGCATATTATTAATAACTTGTCACACTATACCTTGACCCTTAAGGAATTTGATAATATTTTCTAAGGGAAAAAAGTATAGTTTTGAATATTTTTCAGAAATGGGCTAACTAGAAAAAGATAGTCTTGTTCGTATTATGTTAGAGTAAGTAACACTGGAACGTACCCTAGTATGTAATTATTACACAGAGCTTTTAAAATGTTTTAAAAAGTTATTTCATAGCCTTCAGTCTACTGGGAATAGATTTCTAACTGAGTAGAGTTTCTTAGAGTTTGTCCAGTTACTAGGTATGTATGTCCTCTGCTCCCTGTCCCTGATTCTTAGTTTATACTGTATAATAGTCTCATGTTTTTCCTAGTTGGAAAGTTCTCTTCTGTCAGTCCTATAAGGGTCCCTTTAGCTGGATTTTAGCTTCCTTTTCCTTTTGCTCCAATGCTGCCGGAAGGCCTGCTATCTGCTGCAGGTCTTCTTTCTCAATTGTGATCTTGCAGCACCTGTAGCCTCCGCTTAGCTTGAAACACCCACTAAAGGCACAGAGCCAACCTGCTCTGCAGTGTTGACTTTTGTAAGCCTTCCTCTTGCCAGGATGATGCTCTCACTGGGTGCTGCTGCTTTTACTCTTCTCACAGTTTCATCTCTGTCTCTTTACGACCCTGGGGCTTTCCTTCATCTCTGTTTACATATTATTTTTCTCCTGGCACCTGGAACTCTGTCTGCAGACCAGGCTGACCTCATTTTCAGAGCTCACCTGCCTCTGACTTCTAAGTCCTGGGACTAAAGGAGTGCCCCACTACTGCCTGGCTAGCATCCATTTTTTAAGTCCCTGTTTCTACCATACTGAATGTTGTTTGGAGTTTTTCCTCCTTTTGATTTTTTTCTAAAGTTTTGTTTTACTGTAAAATTGATCATAATGCAAAAGTGTATAGTTATATAAGCGTAATTGCTGGGCATGTGGTGCATGATAAAGGGAGGCAGAGGTGTGTGTGGTGTGTGCATTGTGTGTGTATTTGTAGTGTGTGTGTGGTGGTTATGTATCTCAAAATGTACATATTAAGCTGTCTATTTCTTCAGGTTTCTCTGATCTTGCCACTGACATCATTATCCACTTAGGTCTCCTAAATGCTAAGTTTTCAACTTCTTCCCTTTCTGTCTCTGCACTGACCTCTCATCAGCCAAGTTTCCATTTGTCTGCCTTCTTGATGCTTAAAAGCCCCTGCGATTTACAAGTTAACATTCTTCATTTCTGATTCATTTATCTGACCAAACATTCATCACAGAGCTCTTTACTGCTGTGGGAAAGGTACATGTTCTACTTAGTTATGAATATTACAAAGTATTGGCCATTTTACTAAGGTGTATTTTACTGTTCAGAGTAATAATGTGAAATAGTACTTCCATAATTGTATGCATACAATTAAGATTACAAATGAACTAAAGAAAAGAATAATTTTCTTTGGAATAATTTTCTGCCTTTTCTTTCTTTTAGGAAAGGCAAGTAGGAAAAATCAGAAGTGGCGAGGACCAGATGAAAATATCCGGGCAAATCTTCGTCAGTATGGCTTAGAGAAGTTTTACCTTGATGTCTTGGTTTCAGATGCCTCTAAGCCTTCCTGGAGGAAGGGAACATATTTTGATGCAATCATCACAGATCGTGAGTTTATTTTTATACAAAGTAGGAAAGGCTTTAGTTTTCTGAAATTGGTATATTTTAAGTACAAAGTAGATCAATCAACACAGAGAAGAAATGCCCGCTTGTTTATGGGGCCTTCCCACTCTTCTACACATACAAACAATACAAAAATGATGACTAGAAGGCAGGTTGTTAGTCTAAGCATTTAAGGGTTTATGGTTCTACTTTAGGAAACATATATATATATATATAATATATTTCCTGTCTATATTTATAGCTGTACATAATTTGCCATCCATTTCCCCCTCCATTTATTTTTTGAGGCATGTATTTTTATATTGACTGTGACTGGTCATCCGGAAGAGCAGCCAGGGCTTTCACCACTGAGCCTGAGCCATCTCTCCAGTCAAACAAGAAAATTTTTATGGCAATAAGATGCCTTTTTGAATGTGCAATGTGCATTATGACAGTTTGGGATCTTTTATTATTTACTGTTTGCTTGCCCAGTATGGTATTTTTCCTCCTATACTTTAGTGTGGATTTTCTGAGAATAAAGCCACAGTATAGCAATCAATTTTAATATGTTAATATAATAATTTAATCTACAGTTTATTAGCCAGTTTTGTCAGTTGAATCACCAACGTTATGAACTGTTGTTTTTTTTTTTTCTCCTTGAATACAGGTTCACTTTAGAGTCAGGCATTGCATTTAGCAGTTTTGGGTTCCCTTTCCTTCAGTATGTCCACAGCTTTACTAGATCCTTATACCATGGACATTTTGAAGGCATAGTTGTTCTTCCCTGAACATTTTGTGTTAAATATTTTCAGGTGCAATAATGCCTGGGTGATGGGTTTTTCCCTTCTGTGGATATCACATTTGATTGCACACAATGTGTATCTGTCCCTCATTGGCAACAGATTAACTTCACTGTCTTGCTGGTTTTTTTCCTGCCTAGCTCCCTATGGTATCAGAGAATCTACAAGAAGATCAGGTTCACAGAAGGAAATACCAAAGGGAATCGAAAAATGGTAAGTGAAATTTAAATGTAACAAGTTATTACTCTGAAAAACTTGTTTTTATAATTATTGTGAGCAATCTTAAACTTTTTACTGATTTGTAATATTTGTTCTTTGTTAGTCCAGAAAGCCACGTTCCTGTCTCCTTGAGTTATCATCTGAGTGATATGTTTTTTGACCTGTTAAACTTTGCAGCTGAGACCCTGGTACTGGGTGGAAGACTAGTCTATTGGTTACCAGTATACACACCAGAGTATGTAGTCTTTGTGTTCATGTCATTTTCTATAGTATTTGCATGTTTTAAGCATACTTTTTTCCTCACGTCTAACATTGCTCATGTTTTTATATTTACTATTTATCAGTAGCTTTTATATTAGTAAAAAATAATCCCCTTCCCCTTACTAGTTGGATTTTTATTTTGACCTTTTTAAATAAGATACTGACAAACCACAGCCTTTGAGCCAGATATGTTTTTCATACTGTTCCTATAAGGGGGTTGAGCTAAGACTACCTTTTCATTTTTAAAAAATAATTGTTAGAAAATTCACAAAAGACTATGTAACAGAAAATTTGGGCATGATAATGCATGTTTGCTATCTCAGAACTTGGAAGTTATAGGTAGGATGGTCAGAATTCAGAGTCATCCTTGACTACCTCCTGGGTTTGAGGTTAGTCTGGGGCATATAATGTTTAAAGAAAATAGTTGAAAGAAATACATATACCCGGAAAAATCTTACCTTTCTCTGTTTGGAAAGCAAGGCCTTTCACAGCAGTCTGTTGGGGTACTCCAGGTATCTTTTTCTTTTCCTTTCCTATGCTAAATGCTGCCTGAAAATCTTGTATTTCCTTGCGGTCTCTTAGCTCTTTATTTGCTACCTGTGATAGGGAGGAGCTGCTTTTTGTTTTAATCCAAATCTGAAAGACATTTCAAATCTATAGAAGAAGCATTGCACATGTTCTAGATCGTAACATATGTGGCCTTTCCTCTATTCTGTACACACCATTATTATTAATCTCTCTTTGTGTGTTTGTTTTGCTGTTTTTGAGGTGGTGTCTCCTGTAGCCCAGGATGGCCGTGAACTCCTAGCCGCCTATCTCTGCCACCTGAGTGCCGGGATTATAGGTGTGCACACCTACATATGGCTACATTAATCTCTTCTGAACCCATGTGAGAGTTATGAGCAAATGCTCTCTTCCTACCCCTGTATGCACCATGATGCCTCTCCGTCTGCCACCAGTTCTGCAGTAACTAGAAATCAACATTGGTACTGCCAGTGGCATCTGTTCATGGTAGCCTTTCAGATTTTCCAGGTTTAGACCCTTGTTTTTGTTTTTTCTATGGCTGTGAAGAGACACCATGACCAAGGCAGTTTATAGAAGAAAGCATGTGATTTGGGGGCTCACAGTTGCTGAAGTTAGAGGCTGTGATTGTTAAGGTGTTGAGCATGGCAAAAAGCAGGCAAGGCATAGTGCTAGGGAACTTAGCTGAGAATTTGAGAGAGAGAGAGAGAGAGAGAGAGAGAGAGAGAGAGAGAGAGAGAGAGAGAGAGAGAGAGAGAGATTGGTGTGGGATTTTGAAATCTCACAGCATGCCCCTAGTAACACAATTCATCTAGTAAGGCCACATCTGCAAATCTTTCCCAAATAGTTCTACCAGCTGTGAACCAAGCATTCCAATATATGAACCTATGGAGGCCATTCTGATTCAAACTATTCCAGCCCCCACCAGGGCTCATATGATGTTTCCAAAATGTTTTCTTTGTGAGAGCATCATAAAACTGATCTTAGTATCTGTCACCTTTATAAATCATCTTAATTCCGATCATCTGGCCATTTCATTTTGTCTGGTGTCTCTGAATCATTATTTTTTTCCTGTTTTATGGGAGATTTCTAAAAATTACACTATCTTCTCTATCAAAGTCCTGCTCACATTGATGACTTTTGGGGGGGGGGCTTGTTGCATTGTATTACAAAATTACAACATCACTACCACACTGTTGTGGTGCAAAATGAGAAAGTATTTTTCATTCTTTATGCATTTGAAAATTTGCATTCTACAAGAATCTTCCCTTCATTTACTCACTTATATTTAGTGGTATGGAATCATGGATTAGTATGTTCATCTTACTAGGCTCTTAGATCCTTACATCTTTACTCTTCCATACTCTTACATCTAGACATCATCCTAGACTCTTACAACTCAGTTCTCATATGCAATCAACATCAGTAGCAAAAGCCTGTTGTGTGGGGGTCTTAGGGTCATTAGTCACAGGGAAGCATTTCATTGCTCATCCTGGGATTCTTTGGCTTTCTTCAGTTTTTCCCCTGGGAACTCGGAACTCCAGCTCGACACAAATGCTGCCCCATTTGCTTTTGAGACCTGGACAGAACCCATCATTTGCTCTATTTTTCCTAATCCATCTTGATTGATGGAACACTTACAAACAGCCCAAGTTACTAGACACCTCAGAGTCATTTTATTTATGACCTCGTACGTGAGACAAGGATACTATTGAAGTAACAATCATTTAAAAAACAACAACCAACAAACCAGATTTTAATTTGGTATTTAAAACCAATAATTAGAAATCAAATGGAAGCAGTGTCTAAAGGAACGAAGATAATTCATAACGAGTGGCACGAACTCAAGCTCTGCATATTGGAAATATGATAATTTACCACAAGTAAGGCACAACGTACCTGTAAGGCTAGGGCACACATTAGCAAAGTTCTGTCAGATCTCGAGAGTCCCCTAAAAGTTTTAAAGGACCCTAGGACAGATTTTCTGTGCAAGCACAGATCGATGTAATTTCCTCCAAGTTCTTTCGTACATGACCTTATTTGAAGCAGTTTATTCACTGGCACAATCCATGTTAGTAAAATAGTTTTCAAAAGTATTTTCTTTCCCAGGTATTTCACTAGTTGAAAGAGTTTTTCCAGATTAGTCTGAATTTCTATTGCAAGCTAATGTATAATGACTTAACATGCTAGCTAAGTTGTCAAACCCATGACAGGAAGGAATCCCGACAGTAAAGCATTCATTTCCAAGTTGCCTTTGGAGATTTGATGGGTTTTGGTTTTTCTTTCTTTTTTTTCTTCAAATCTACATTTGTGAAACCCTTGACATTTGGTGTATTAGACAGTGAATTTAAAGTCAAGAACTTTCGTGCTTCACGAGAAATGGATTAAGAATCTGGAAGCGCGCACTGGTATCACCTCGGTTTCCTCATGTTATGGCCATGAGAGTGTTCTCCAGGGTCCCTCCCGCTCATGAGCTCTCTTCACTGTCCTCTGAATCACAGCGGTCACACTTGGACATCACCCTTTCAGCTTCCCTTTCCAATGGTAAGAATCATGTACATAGAACCCTCTAACTCGTCATCTGAACCTGAGGTACTCTATTTACCTTGATGGGGTTTGAGTTTCCCATTGCTTGTTAAGAGCTCTTTGTGTTGGTTATTTAGTATTTCTTTTTTGCAAAATCTTCTCTGGCACTTTAACCAAAAAAAAAAAAAAAAAAAAAAAAGAACCCAAAGATTTGTTTTCTATTCATGCAAATTATAGAGAAATTGCCTTATTTTCAGAAGCATATCTTCATTAAAGGCTTAGAGTCTCCTACATCATAAAGATCAGACACACTGTAGGGCCGAGCAAAGCCAAACAGAGTCCCAGTATCTCTGCTGGATTGACTAACTTCTTAAGTTCCAGTGGATCAGCCCTGTCTTGTTTGGTGACTTGAGCATGCCAGTACTTTTCTTCCCATAGGTTCCAAGGTTTTGCACAGCAGGAGACACTATTTAGTATTGGTATGAATGTGCTCTTTATAGTCTGACCCTTCTCACTCAGCTGTAAGAAATAGTGAGGCAGCCCTACCTCCATTTCATCTTCTTTATTCAGTTCACCAACTAAATGAGGCGCAGACATGAAAGATGCCGGCCATCTCCCCCTTCCTGTTATAATTCCCCCTTTTCCTGGAAGACAGCCAGGACATGGTTAGATGTCTTATCATCTGTAGTAGGGACAAAGCAACTTCTCCCATACTGAGCTTTGGATCTTTTGTGTTCCTCTTAGGTGCCAAATATTGCATTTCTGTTCCTAAAGTCCTGATATGACACCCTCAGAACAAGGAAGTGGTCTTGGTGAGGGAGCGTTAACAGATCTGATCCGGGGTCTCTTGTGGATTGTTGTGTGAACTTTTCTTTAAGAGGACATGAACAAATGTCTCTTTGTCCTAAACATGGTCCCAACAACAGCATAGAAATGTTCCCATCACAGTCTAGCTTAGTAAAAACAATGTTTTTAATTAGGGTTATTTACAGAAACTTAGGCAACTTATGTACTGCTACACCACCGAAGTAAAAGAATCTCTTACAGCAGCTGGTAATTGTCTGTATATCCTTAGGGGTGGGGCCTCCTAAGTCCTATCCTCTAGTAACCATTGCCTGTGAGTCTTAGAGATGTGGGCCCTGTGAGCCCCTCCCTCTGACAGAACTTTAACTGGCCCAGTCTTGTACATAGCTGCCCCCAGTTGAAGAGGCAGTGGCACATTGTGCCCACAGGACAGTGTTGTGTTGCATGAGAATCACAGCGTCTGTGATTTCTATAGGCTAATACACATGTTTCATGCCTAGGTTTCAAGCCTTTACAGCGCTTCACCTAAAGTGAAATTCAAGGGTTTTAAACTAACTATATTTCTGGAGACCTTAACAAGTAGCCACTGTATATTACTTCAGTGACTTTTCTATTCTAGTAATATATACAAGGAAAAATGTCTAAACACTTACAACTACAGGGTACAGACACAGAGCTGGGTATGAAGGCCCCTGGTTATAGTCTCAGTACTCAGGCCTTGGAGGCAGGAGGATCTCAAGGTCAAAGCTAGCCTGGGCTACATAGTGTAAAATTGTATCAATTCCTTCTCTTTTATTTTGTTGTGTGTTTTTAATTGAAAAAAAAAATCAGACAATATATTCTGATTACCATTTTCCCTTCCCCAAATTCTCTCGGAAGAAAGGAAGGAAGGAAGAAAGGAAGGAAGGAAACAGACAGTTCAGAAAACACAAAATTGGAAACCATAGTATATCTATTGGCCAGTAAGAAATAAGTGCTCAAACAAAGCTGAAAAAGTGGAGTATCACTACAACAGAATATTACTCAGTTGTTAAATAGAATCAGGAAATTTTCAAGTAAATGGGGATGGAGCTAGAAAACATGACCCAGGCCCCAAAAGATAATTAATATATGTTTTCTCTTGTATGTTGATGTTAGTGTTTAAACATTTGATAGGAACACTACAAATCATATAACCACAGAAATCATATAACCACAGAAATATAGATCAAGACCAAGACTGTGGTTTTCAACCTGTGGGCCATGACCCCAGGGGAATTGAGTGGCCCTTTCACTGGGTTCCCCTAAGAGCATTAGAAAACACAGCCATTTACATTATTCATGACAGTAGCAAAATTACAGTTACGAAGTAGCAATGAAAATAAGTTTATGGTTGGGGGTCACCACAGCATGAGGAACTGTAGGAAAGGTTTGCAGCATTAAAGGTCGAGAACCATTGGACTAGAGGGAAGGTGTGGTTGCAGGGTATCTCTCAGGGAGGGGGAAATAGAATATACAGTTATGGAGAAACGGGGGCCAGGATTGGAGCAGGAGGATTAAATGGGAACGGAGGGAATGTGGAGTGACAACCAACACTGAGGGCCATCTAAGGAGACGTATGGAAACTTGCTACAGAAGAAGCGGAAATTGTTGACACACACGAAAGAAGTCTAAAGCGTCACCAGGTAACAGGGAGACTGTACCCCAACTAGACAGCTTTTGCCACTAAGTAAAACCTCCAGTGCCAGGAATGGGCTCCACCTAGTTGTTTGTTTTTAGACATTTCATTGCGGGACAGTTTCTGCCAGCTGTGTGCCTAGAACAAGTGGGAAGGGTACTGTTGAGTTTACTCTCCTTATTGATTTGTATTTGAATTATTTTCAGAGCCTCTGATGCTCTTTATTCAATCTCTGTTGTCTCTTCACTACATTCAGATTTTTCTGGGTTTACTATTCACTGCCTGCAATGACGCAGAACACGTTCGCTCTGTCATCCGCAGCGCAGCATAGATGTGGCTCAGGTGTGATGTCCTCAGAGCTGCACGGCTCCTGAGTGACTGCACTTGTTTGCTCAGGTCCCACATATAGAGCTTCGTTAGCTACTTTCATTTTGCCAGCTAACTCTTAAACTGGCTGTGAAGGACAAAATCTATCTCCTACTGGTATTGAGGAAAGTGATGGCAGGTCCAGCAAGATGATTCAGTGGATTAGGATGCTTGTTGCATGGGCCCAGTGACTTGAAGTTTGATACCCAGAACCAATGTGGTAGGAGAAAACTCCTGAAAGTTCTCTGAGTTCCACAGCTGTGTTGTGGAACTTGCATGTGCACACTCACTAAATAAGTAAAGTAATATGACATACATATATCAAAACCTTATATCCCATAGCTATTGCTATAATTGTCAATTAAAGTATGAGAGTGGGGGACATGGGCTTAGCAGTTAAAAGCACTTGCTGTTCTTCCAGAGGACCCACAGGTCAGTTCCCACAGCCTCATTGAGCTGTGCTCATTACTGGCTTGTAACTCCAGCCATGGGCCTTCTTGTGGCATCTTAGGAAAGCTACATGTAGGTGGCATACATATGTGCACAGACACATATGTATACTCTCACAGACACATAAGAAATGAATGATGGCCAAAAAAAAAAAAAAAAAAAGAAAAAGAAAAGAAAAAATAAAAACTAATAACGGGTCTCAAATTAAGATTTGGAAATTTGAATGTGGTTAGGAAATTTATGGTGGGCCATAATTCTCTTGATATCAGTGAACAGGACATGCTTTTCATCTTTATCTAGGAAATAGGAAAGAATGATTCCTTAAGCAGTTCAGAATGTTCAGTAAATTCGCAATTTGCTTTAAGTCGCAGGTGAGATCGATAACGTTTAGAAATTAAAACATGAAATTTTATAAGGAAATGAGTGTCTATGAAAATTGATTTATGAATGAGCTAGGGGCTTATGTATACAACTCTTTTTGCTGTTAAAAAAGTTGGAATGTAATTTGTATTCATGCAATCCCCACCGTACACTTTTCTCTCCTGTGGTTTATAGTATTTCCACAAAGTTGTGCAACCATTTCCATTATGAACAACTGCCCTACTCTAAATGTTTTCATTGTTCCCAAAGAAACCCAGTGTGGAAGGGACCACCCCTCCTGCTTTCGGCAACCACTGATCGAACTCTGTGTGGATTTGCCTGTTTGGGCTGTTTTCACTTTTAAATAGATGGTAAATTATAGGATAACTGTAATAAAAACAGAATCAAGTATTGTTATAGTTGTGTAGACAGACTATAGATTTAACAGTTTTCAAACAGTTAGGAAATACACTATATACACCAAAGATTTTTTGTTTGTTTTTTGTTTTTTTATGTTTTATTTTTTTCTAATTTTACATATTGATCCCAGTTCCCCCTCTTCCTCTCTTCCTCCCTCTCTCTCTCTCTCCCTCCCTCCCATGCCCCCCGACCACCCTCCCATCCTACCCCTCTCCACTCCACAGGGAGGGCACCAAAGATGTTTTTAAGCTGCTATTTTAACTTTTTTCAGTATGTTATTTTGAAAATATGTTGTTCCATCGATTTGGTCATTAATATGCAGTTGGTTCTCCATATCTGTGGTTTCTATATCTAGATTCAGCCAATCTTAGATGCAAAATGGAGTTTGGGTTATAATAGTTTTTATGTGTACTGAACAGATTTATTCTTGCCATTCCCAAAGCAATGCAGTTTAGCAAGTCACATTATTATTGTATTGGGTATTCTGAGTAATCTAGAGTGATTTAAAGAATACAGGAGATTATTATAGTTATTACATATATTTCCTAATTTGAATGAATCCTTGGATTATGAGGAGGGAGGTGTCCTAGAACCAGTCTGAGATACTGAGGGAGATTGTAAGAGGCTGGTGATCAGTAATGTTGGTAGTTCAAGGTAGTTCCTTAATGGTTAAAAAGAAACAATAGTTTATATGCTTTTAAAAAAATGCTGTGGTTTGTGCTTACCAGGTTTCACTCAAAAAAGAAAGCTAGCTACTGGCAACTTTATTTGAGCAATATTAGCATTATTCATGTCATAAATGTTACTTTAAATTACTTTTTATATTTGGATTTGATTTTTTTTTTTGGTTTTATAATTATATAAGAGACGTAGATATAAGGAATTTGCATTTATGCTTGTTTAAGTGACATTTTGAAAACACGAGTCAGTATCAATGGAAGTTTTAAAATTTCTTTAAAAAGTTAACATTCTTACATTGTGAAGGGCTGGGATATGGGACCATCATTCTCAAGTATGACAGACACTCTTTTAGATACCCATGGATTTTGCTGTATATAAGCTTCATTTCAAAGTTATATTTTCTATTTCCATTTTTAAATTTACTCAGTCATGGTGTGTAAGTTATTTCTTCATGTCATAAGTATTTTCTGTGGCGATTCTGAATTTGATATGGGCTAGTTTTATTAAAAAGTACATTATTTCTGACTGTAGAGCAAGTACGAAGACTTAGTAGATGAGGTAAAACTGAAATGGTCATGAGCTCCCTAAGGAAGGGCAAAGACAAGAGAATTCCTTCCGCTGATAATGGGTGAAGTACAGCATGAAAGCTGCTTGGTGCGTGAGTGGTGAAGGGTTTGAGTATGTGATTGCAGCGGTGAGAGGAGATAGTTGAAGGTCAGAGACGCACAGAGGAGTCCCCAAGAGCGGCGGTCAGGGTGATGCTGACACATTAGAACGGGGCTCAAGGCTCTTAGTCAGTACTTTTCCCATTTTGAATGGGAGGGTTAAGATTATCCGTGTAACAAATGTGAGCAGAGACTACACAAAGCATAAAGGTTTCAAAGGAGAAATAAAGCCTGCACACATAGCAGAGGGAGGGCCCCTTCCTGCTACTCTTCTGTACTCAGCTCCTAACGGGTTCCATCCATCACGTTCTTCTGCAGGCTCCTGACTAGTGTGTTCACTGGCCTGCTTTCTGGGTAGGAATCATCTCGGTTCATGTACACATTGCCCTGTAGCAACACTCTGCACTACTCAGTGTCTTGGCCTCAGTGTTACTTTCTAATGAGTGTGACCTGGGGGCTAACACAGTCTGTAGTGTTTATTTGTCGTTAGTTAATTTGAAGTACTTTATAAATAACTTAGACTTAAGATGTCATTAATGTTCTTTAGGGATGCTTCATTTGCAGTATAAAATATATGCATGCTATTGTAGACTTTACAGAAACCTCCAGGTGACTCATCCCTCTTGACTGACAAGGGTTAGCTGTGGAGTATAAATCTGTCTAATCTGCTTTATGGTGTAATCACCCTTTTGTGGACCCTTTATGGTGTAATCACCATTTTGGAGTTCTGGGGTTTGTTTATTCTTCATTAAAACGTACGGGTAGATCCTCCCTTCTCCCCTACTTCACCCTCCATCTATTTCCCTTCTACTATCTCTTGCTGTCTGTCCTTCTGTCCTTCCCTTCAAGGGCTAAAATACTGAACTACATGTTTTGGTACTGGCACTTGTAAAATATTTGTAAAGTACAAGTAGATAGATCATTTTTGGGTTGTAGGGGAACCATACTTGACTTCCATGGTGCCGGTGTGACTGCTGCTGATGTGACTGTTCCTAACGGTCAGTTTTCTGTGCAGGTACACTGAAGAGATGGTGCCCTGGCACCCTTGCCTGAAACTTATTAGCAATTGTGAACAGAAGCTTTCCAGTCACACAGCCAGGCGCTTGATCACAATGGAAAAGGTGAAAGAATTTGAGGTATGTTGCCTACTTTTTTTTTTTTTTTTTTTGGTATAAATTCTGGACGAATCAAAACTTGATCCAGCTTTCCTGGAGTAGGATTTGGAAATGTTAGTCTTGATTTTGATAATATAGGTAAGTTTAGGAAGAAACAGAAGTTGGAGTTTTTTGTGTCATTTGGTTGTGGTAGGATGGAGGGCTTTGCTAGGAGAGTGAAAGAAATTCACTGAGGTTGTGGGCTTTGTTAGATGTCCTGTTGCAAAGCAGGACTTCATGACTGTACACTTGAATGTTTGTATTTATCAAATACACACAGACACACACACACTCACACTCAAGTTTGAGGAAGAAGTTTTAAAACTATTTGTTACTTTCTTTCCAGATTAGAAGTGATATAAAAAGTACCTTATTGAATGAAATTTTAGTACCATGACAGAATGCCCTTTGTTCGGTCCTTCTCTAGACAGACTCTCTCAAATGCACTGGCTGTTTGGACAAGCCACGTTTTTATAGAGCAAGCAGAGCAGGGTAGTTGTGTCTGAATATTTTGTAATGTCTATCTCTACTCTTCATTTGATTGATTATCATCTAATATATACCTTATAGGTCTTCCCCAGTAGTAACTTACACACTGCCTTTTGTATCTGTCACTTTGCGTCTTTTATCCCTTTCCCATTCGTTACCTATCTTTAATTCAGATCCTTATTACCTCATAATTGGCTTATGTTGACATATCTGAATCTTTCTCCTATCTTGTTCCTATCTATTAAATAGATTTTCCTAAACTATTGCATTTATGTTACTGTATGCCAAAAGTTTTAACTAATCATTTTTATAATGTTTTATAATGTTTATAAAGTTTTCAGCATGGTTTAAATTATCCTCAGTAATTAGACACCAACATTAAGACTCTTCAGGAAACTCAGCATGTATCTAGATAAGTAGTTGATGGTTATCTACTGGATGTGTGGGTATTTCTATGGGGTGTATGTGTATATGTGGTATGATGAGAATGCATGGTAGTAGTAACAAAACAAAACAATTACCTGTTCATATTCCAGTCTCATCTCTGCAATTCATATTCAGACAATAGATAGCTAGAGTCCTTTGTGGAAATCAAGTACTATTCCTATGATTTACTGTTCTAATGATTTACCGTTAGTTATTTAGAACATTGCAGATTCAGAAATTCCCGAGATTGGTTTCCATATTTATTGGCAGAGTGGAAACCTTCAAAAATGTCAGTTTCAAATCCAGTAGAAGCCCCGTTATGTTACTGTCCATTGCAGTTGATTAATCAGTGCTGGCCACTCTGACTGCAAACCCACTGATGATGATGGTAGCCTTGCTTCCTTGTACCAGCTAAACTTTCTGTTTGCCCAGAGTTACTTGTACTGTTCTCAGGACTATTTATTCCAGGTAGAAATATTATGGTGATTATGTAATCTAACTAAATACTTGTTAGAGATAAGTGAAACAAGAGTGTAAGAGTAGAGTTAATATTTCTATAACAAATAACACAGGTGCTTTAGAAGACAAGACAGAGTCTGCTGCTGAGAAAGATCTGAGAACTTGCAAGCTGGCTCAGTGGATAAGGGCACTAGGGCACTTGCTGGTCTGATGACCTGAGTTTGACTCCTAGAGCCCATGCGGAAGGAGAGAGCCAACTTTCATACGATGTCCTCTGGTTTATGACGCATGCACCCACTCCAGTATGAAATAAGTCAATAAATGTGGCTTTTAAAATGTGGAAATAGGAAAATGATCGCAGTTCAAGTTCCTGGATTCAGTTTGCTTTGTAAGACACTAAGCTCTTTTTATTTGATGCAAGATAGAACTGGGTCTCTATAGGTTTTGTTCCATAAAGGCTGGCAAATCACTGTATTAATCAGTATTTATAAGCAAATAGGGGTATTTTAAATTACAGAAATTTCTCACGTTTGTGGAAGTAGAAAGTGCAAAGGTTGCTTTCTAGAAGGTGAGACTGCCCGCATACTGCCTTCATTATTCAATCTGCCTGTGTCATCTCTACTCCCTCTTTTTACCATTGTGACATCTTTTTACCCTTAATTACTGCCTCAAAGGCCCTGTTTCTGGATATAGCTATGCTAACCATATCAACTAGGACACCTGAGGCTGGTTATTGTTAGAGATGCTTGTTCTCCCTTTCCAGTCAGAGCTGTCTCTTATATATGTATGTTTTTCTTCTGCTATGTTAAGAGAAGTGAAGTGTTGGATCATTTAATAGTTTTACAATTTCTATAAATTATAGCTTTTAACATAATCACTTGAGTTAGTAATAATATTAGTAGCTAATATATTATGTGTCAGGACAAAAGAGACAGTTGTATAAAACAGAAATGTTACTTGTAGATGATATAATTCCAATTGTGTGACACCAGCTTCCTTCATGATGCCTACATAAATAGCAGTTCTACATAAATTGTGCGCCAAAGAATTACCCAGATATGAAGAAAATGCTTATCCATTCCTATGTTTATGGAAGTTGAAACCAACAATAAACTGGGGTCTTGTGTGAACTGATTTTATATATGCTTTCTCCTGGGCTTAGTTTAAGAAAGTCTACCATTTTTCTTACAAATTTTCTTACAAATTTATTTGTACTTCTGTAAGCAAATTTATCTCAAAGTCAAAGAAAAACAGGCTTTTGAGCGTCTTATTGGATATTAAAATGATAAGCTCACTGTCCTTTGGTGTATCAGCCTTTAGAAACGGCTGCTTCTGGCTTGGTTTCCCATTTTCATTTTATTTCTGTTCTTCTTTGAGGCAGGTGTGTGCATGTGTGCTTGTATTGAGACAGTGTCCCACTGTAGTCCTGGTCGTGCCGGACTCACATGTAGATGAGTCTGGCCTCCAGTTCAGAGGTGTGCCTGCTGCTGCTTCAGTGCTGTCCCACCGCACCTGGGTGAAGCCGATGTCTTTTAAAATAAGGGAAAGCCTCCTCCTAATGGTCACATTGGTACAGGCTCTCATTAGTAAGAAGTCTTAAGTAAGCAGTGTGGGAATGACTGTCAGTGTCATGTTGATGTGCTCCTCTGTCCTGTTTCATTTTATTCATTCTTCACTTCTGCCTTCTGTTTCCTGCTGAGCAGTGTCTGCAGTTACATCAGGACCGCAGCCCTTTGTAACACAGGCGTAGACAGAATTGTCAAACAGTTCTCACACGTCTGACAAATTGTTCTCAGACTTGTTCAGTGCTGTTGATTTTGGCAGTGGATGAATATTAATTTTAGATTTTTGTTTGCACTTAGTTTAAAGTTAGGGTTACTTGATACATTGTTAAAGTGTTCTCCCACTGTTTAAAATGTAGAAATGAGCCATAAAATTGTCTAATGAATATGGATATTTGTATCTTTATATCATTGGCCATAGTTTTAGATTTCTTTATTTCATGTCAATATTATGAAGATGCCTGATAAGAATCCAGTTTTTTGTTGTTATTGTCCTTCATTGATACATTCTAGAAACTAAGTGAATTAAGTGCCATGTTTTCTTGGTGCTTGTTTATAAACACTCCAATCCATTTGAGTTAATGCCACCATTTCAGGATGCCGTGACAGGATATAATATATTTTACTAGGGTTAATTCTTCTGTTCTTATTGGCACACAGTTAATGGTGCTGTGTATAGTTGTGATGACTCTATGAAACATTTTCTTACATAAAATTCATTGAATAAAATATTGATCTCCAAAAATAAAAGAATTCTAATCTCCTTAATTCTCTAGATTAGAGCAGATTGTATACAACAGTTAGGCAGTCAGTGCAAGCTACATAGAAGCAGTATGCTTTCAATGGCTTCTTTCAGAACCTACTAGAACCAGATGATAGAACTTACTAGAACCAGAAGTTTGGAGCTGGAGTTACAGGTAGTTGTGAGCCACCTAATGTGGGTGCTGGGAATTGAACTCTAGTCATCAGCAAGAATAATATGCTCTTTTAATCATGGAGCCACATGTCTTCAGAGCCTTGAAATTAAAAAGAAAGAAAGAAAAGAACCCCCCCCCCAAGCAACCTTTCTCAGCTCCTCTGCAGTAGATACTTGATTAAATATAAATACGTTATCATCATGGAGTAGAGCATGTGTACCTGATTTGCTTTTGTGCCTTACTTACTGGTAGATGGTAACTCATTCATTGTTTAATAAAATTGAGTAGAATTACATTATATAAGAACTAATAATTGAACACCAACTCTGTCTAGGCCTAATTGTCCAATGTTCATTGCTGTCATAATATGACATATGAGGGAGGAAAAGATAACCTTTCCAATATTTTGCATGGGAAGTCAGAATATGTCTATACATTTTGTTTTGGCATGCCACACTTGAAGACGTCTTGAGAAAGTGACAGGGGCATAGTAATGCCATGTCTCATGTTGTTTGAATTCAGTTCCTAGACATTTGGTTTTATTATTAATCTTACTTTTCCTTGGGTTTAAATCTTAGAGAGTCGCCATTTTTTCTTTTGTTCCTCTTCAGTTCAATGATTTGGTAAGCAAACTGACAAAGCCATGAGTTGGTCAGCTCCTCACCAGTCCCACAAGGGTGATGAGTTCAGATGTATGGATCTTGCCACACATGCTAATAGCTATTAAGTCTTACTGTGCAGGGGCAGGCAGCTCACTAACGTCAGAGTAGACAAGGATTCTGCAAGCTCTAGAGCAGTGATAGCAAAATGTATTAAAACATAGTGTAATAGTCATTGGTGGGGCTCACTTGATTCAGGCACTCCAGTGCATGCGTTGATGAAGGAAATGGGGCACGGTGTACAGTCTCGGGAGCTTCCTTTGTGACTCTTGTGTGAGTGACAGAATTTCTACTTTGTAGCTTTTTCTCTTTATACCCATAGATATTTGACTTAAAATTGCTTTGTAAATGTTTTCCAATTCAAATATGAATTTGCATCCCTTTTCCACTTTATGACTCCTAGAATCCAGTGTTCGGATTTTATTTGCGTTTTCCTCAGCAAATAAATGTACAGGTCGGTAAATACTTAG